TGGAAAAGAAAAACTTGCACTGAGGAGAGAGCTTTGTTCCCCCCGATCGCCTGCAGCATCTCCAATGCGTTCGCAGCGGAGAGGCCGCCCACGTTCCAGGTAGCCACTGTGAAAGGCGAGTCAGCTTCCCCCTTCAGGGGAAACTGCGGCAGTCCGTGAAACTCGGGGGCGTCTTCCCCCTGTTCGCCTGAGCTTTCAGTGGGCTCGGTCCCTCACAGCGCAGTGCCGCCTTGAGGCCCCCCCACTCTTCTTCGACTTCATTCTCTGGCTGTCCCAGGCCGCGTGCCACGGCCTTGATGTTGATCCAGCCAGCCCCCGCCTCTTGTGCTTCTCCAGGTTTGGTAGTGGTTGCCGAACAGATCCTGACCCCCTTGAGCCATACGGTGCCGGTGGGCCACTCGGTCTCGATCTGGTTGAGGGCCGCCCCCAGGCTGAGGCAGAGTCTCTTGCACTTCCCCGCGAGCTGCACCCTTCTGCGGCGCTCTGGGGACTGAGATAGCTGCATCCACAGGTAGCGTGTTTTGCCCTCGGCGTTGGTGCCCATTGCAATGTTGGCCTGACGCACTCGGCGGAGAGCCCCCGACAGCCTTTCTCGCAGTTCTTGCGGGCTTTCTCCGTCCCTGGGGTTGTAGGGCAGGATAGCGTATCCTCGACGCACTCCGGGCACAAAGGCCATGTCGGTGTCCACATCCACGCGCAGGTCCTTGATCATCTGCTGCACCCCGCGGAGGGTCTCCTCCGCTGGCGTGTCATCCCCCCAGCCACCCATGATGAGCGCCGGCTTTCGTCCCCCGAGGTCTGTGTCCGCTGTGCTCCCCGCCGCTGACTGCTGCAGTGTCTGCACCTTTGCCTCAAGCGTCTGCAGCCTGGTGCTCATCTTGAGCTGATCCCCCTGGATGGCTTCCACCGTCTGTTGTTGGTCGTGCTGCTGGTTGGTGATGGCTTGCAGGCGTTCCAGCGTGCGCTCGAGCTGAGCTGTGACCCCCGTCTCCACTCGGTCCATTCTCGCGCCGATTTCGGTTCGCAGGGTAGCGGTGCTGACCCCGATCTCCCCCCGAACTACCTCTCTGATTGCGTCCAGACTGAGAGCTTCCTCTTGAGGTGCCCCCCTTTTCTTCGGCGAGGGGTTAGCCTCTGGGTTGTAATCGGTGTCCATCCCCTGCGGCGGGCCTGCGGGTGACGATGCCATTCTTGATGCCGTCGGCGTAGTGGCACGATGCACAACGTGCTCAAACTTTATCTCCCCCTCAGGTTCTCCCGAATCGCACCTGCCCCCTCGACCGTGTATAGTTTTCGCCGGCCCCCGTCTGGTAGCGGGTGACAAGCTCCCTCACACGCCTCGAAGAAGGATCACGAACAGGAACACTCTTGACTATCTCGCTGGCCCGGACCCCGGCGAGGAAGTGCGCACAGATGCCCCCCTTGGTGCTGTGCAATGGCGCGGCAGAGTAACCGCGGAGTGGGAAAGGCCCCCGGGTTGAGGTGGGCTAGGGCCTGGCAGCAAAGGAGGAAGAAAGGAACAAGAGGGGAGAGCAGGTCGGCCCCAGCCCCCTTGAACCACTCACGGCTTGAGCCAAAATGGCTACTTTTATCTCTCTCTCTCTCTCTCTCTCTGTTCTTCCAGTGGACTTCTACGACACCGGCCTGGTGGGTGTGCCAGTCCAGGGCTTCAGTACACAGGAAGGAGCGGCTGGCTTGAGCCGCTGAAGATGGCCGGAAGTTTAGGGGTTTAGGGGTTTAGGGTTGAGGGATTTACGCTCTCACGACAGGGTTTCGGGTTTAAAATGCATCGATGTTGGAACGAAGATTCTGGAAGCTAGACAAGAAGTGAGGCTTCATCTTGAAGCATCATGACATGGGTCTCGGGTTTCCACGCTCTGCACGGCATCTCAAGGGCGCAACATGCGCAACGAAGCGCAGAGCAAAACAGCGCAAGCTGGCCCGCTCACCGCCGCATCGCAGCCTTTTTGCATCAGGCCTCTCCGGTCAAGGGTTCTGGCTTCTGCATGAACCTGAGTTCTGAGCAAACCTCTTGGACCTCTCCTAGTCGGCTCATCGGATCACTCTCGGAAAACATACATCGGACCCCAGCACGGGGAAGCCACCAGCATGTCGGGCGCCGATGATGGGCCGTTGAGGAAAGCGACTCCGGGTGCAAAGGCGGTCGTCTCACCGTCCTCGATGATGCCATTCTTGTTCGCATCCCGGATGAGGGTCATGTTGCCACTGTGAGAGCTGGAAGCAATGACGACGCCAGCCTTCGTGTTGATGAGAGGAATGCCTTGATTGTCCGGAAGGCAAATTGGGTTCTCAATGCTTCCAAGCAGAACTCGTCGAGGAAAACCCTCCTCATCTCCGGCAGCTCCGAAATGGTCCCAGTCTGCCTCGTTCCATTGCCAGATTTTGGCACCAGTCGCCGCATCCAGCGCAATGACGGAGTTCTTCAGCACAGTAACATTAAACTGATGTCGAAGATCTGCATCTGCTAAATAGCGGCCCATCGCGGCCTCGTCGACGAGAGGTGGCAGGCCAGTGTTTTGGCCAATGGCAGCTACCACCGCCAGGGGCCCTCCCTCGTAGAGATAGCCCACTGCTGGAGACTGAGGGGCCTCGTAGGGTTTCTCAAGAGGAAAGCGCCAGGAAATTTCGCCCGTGGTGATGTTGTATGCAGTGATGAACATCCCATCGCCCGGCGTCATAAAGCCCGCGCCCTGATCGGGTGGAGGCAAGCCATGAGCAGCATAGAAAAGTCCGTTGGGGCCTGCAGTACCGCCTCCTGTGCCACACACACCGTCGATTCCGATTTTGTCTTCAGACTTCACCATCAACTGACCTTCCGCAGCAGAGATCCGATGAAAAACACCGCAACTGCTGGAGAAGGTTACGCTTTCGCCACCATCGGGACTGGTTGGGGCCATATTCCACATGACATCGTCCGTGGTGTACGACCAAAGTAGGTCGCCCGTGGATGCATTCATTGCAAGCACGGAGTCACACCCGCCGGACAAGGAGCGCGCCGAGGCCGGCAAGAAGAGCCGGTTTTTTGTCAGCAGGAGACCCGGGCTGTCTGCTCCATAGTCGAAGCCTGCGACGGTCTTGTTGATGACCACCTTGCCTGTCTCCATGTCCAGGGCATACACGCGGTTGTGGCCATTCCCACACCCCACTCGGAAGTAGATCAAGCCATCACCTAAGACTGGCGAAGTGTGGCCGGGCTCGTCCTGATTGAAAAGCCACAGCAGCTTTCCCTCGGGGCTGAACTTTCGGAGTCGCAATGTCCCTGCGACGTAGATGTTCTTCTTGCCGTCGATCAAAGGTGAATGCCGAATTTGCTCGTCGAGCTCATTATTCCATGTCCACGCAGGGTTCGAAAAGTCCTGCGGAATGTCCCACGAGATAGCGTTGCTGCCCAGCAAGTCTCCACCACGCTTGGAGTAGAAGTTGCCGAACTCGTCTGTGCCTGGCGTCGCCTTGCTGTTCTCCAGTTTGGAGATCTTCATCTGCACCCAGCTGGTCCCAGCGTCCTGGGAAGTTGCCAAGCAGTGCTCATCCAAACAGTCTGCCCGACAGCTAAGGGCCACGAAGACCCATGAAAAGGCCTTTCTCATAGCGCGCAACACAAAAAATGTAGGCTAGCAAGGATCTACGCTAGCACCCCACGGGGAGCTTGGAGCCAAACTGGTTATGCGGCTCGAGGTTGCAGCTGAACCGTGCTGTGGCAAGGCTTCCAGGGTTTTGGTTTGGGACATCCTCAGACGGCGTTGCCGCGCACATCCGCTGCCCTGCTCGGCAGCCACGCGCCTGTAAGACACCCAGCTCCTCCGTTTTTCGTCTGAAAGGACCGAAATCCAGCCACTGGATCGGCCTGACCAGACAATCCCGAGGGCATCCGTACTGTTGAGGTCTGCCTGCTGCGCACTTCCACTGCCTGGGCGCCGAACTGTTAGCCGCAATGGGTCCGATCCTGCCTGCAAACTTCAGCGGTACCTGTCAAAGCGACACTCCCAGCAGTTGCAAAGATCCGTGTTTTTGTGCATCGAACCTCCTGCAGGCTCATTTCAGCAGCTGGCGAGGGCTGACGGGTCCGAGAGCTTGGAGGGCTCCTGTTCTTTTACATGTCATGTTGCCTGTGCAGGTGGACAGCACCTTGACAAAGGAACGCCAGGAGCCGGAATCGAAGCTAAGGAGCTGACTCCGGGTCATCATGTGCTACATTTCAGCTACATGATCTTGAATCTGGATTGGTGCTCCAGCTTCCTGGTTTACGCGTGGTTCTGGCCTTCGCATTCTGGCACAGCAGACTTGGCGAAGGGCACGAGGGTTGGCAAGAGCATGCGAGAGCAATATGCTTTAGGCTTGCACACCCTGCAAAGCAGCTCCTTGCCGTTGATGGCCTCCTGCTTCCAGCTGCACCTGACATGTGTCACTTCTCCTGGTTGTCTGCGAATCAGCCGCGCCCCTTCACCCAAAAAAGCAAAACTCAAACCGAACCACGGTCGCTGCACTTCGACCGTGGGCCGTCCCTGTGGATCCAGCTCCAGCTGGAGTGCTTCTGTGCCTCTCACAAACTCGAAGGACTACCAAGGAGAACTCCATCCACAAAAGAAAACGCTTGGATCGTTTCGACTTCGAGTCTGCTGGCCTTGGCCGTGAAGTTCGCTTCATGGCTTTAGCTCTGCTACCGGACCGCTCAAGCCGCCTCGCGGTTTCCAGAAGTGCAGCGCAATTGCTGTTTCAAGCTCCCTCTTTCTTTTGACCCTCTCTGCCACCGTTGGCATGGCTTGCGCCCCCAGGTGCCTGCTCCGCGTCCGCTCTGGACGAGGCTTGGCGTCGCTTGCGTCCTTCTTGCGAGACCTCGAGCGCTCGCGGCCTGGCATCTCACCAACGTCTCTTGCTGTCGCACACACCACATCGAGCAGATGACATTCGGTAGCTGTTGCCTCTGCGGCTCGCCACTTTTTTTCGCAAATGCAGGTGTGGAAACCAGGAGCTAGAGGCTCGACCTACCAATGCACGACAACCCCACAATGGCCTCTGCACATTGAAAACTACGAAGGCCCTGCGGACAAGTCGGGATCAGCAGTCAGCGACTTCTCCGTCGCTTTCGCGGGTCGCGCCCAAAAACTGCAAAGCACGCCCAAATGCAACATCCGCAGGCTGCGCCACTCGCCGTGGCAATCCCCAATGGATGGCTAACCATGATTGTTTTTACTGCCGGCTGTGTGAAACCTAGGTATGCCCACAAACCATACATCCCCTTCTCCGGGACGGTGACGACGATGTGCTTCGTGGTAACCAGGCCAACAGCTGCGGAGGTGGCCGCAGCCCCGGAGACTGATGTCAAAAGTGCCACGTGGGTTGTCGCTCGTCGTACCTGGTAGCTGCCGCCGTGGCCGTGCAGGCAGTCGTTGGCAAAGGTCTCACAGTTGTAGAAAACAAGGCTATACTTGCGAGCTTCTCTGACAGCTGCCTCGGCCCTTGACAAGCAGCTCTCTGCGTCAAACGGCCTCTCATAGAGCTCATAGTACCGAAGCTGCGTATCAGAAAGAGTTTTTTGCACTACTCCGCCGGCTCGGAAAGAGTTCTCGATAATCACATGCCCGTCTACATCTCTTGCTTTGTAGATCACATGGTGATCGTACAGTTTTCCTGAGAACCTCCCGCCTTTCTTCCACAAGTGGTCCCCCGGCAAGAACGATCTTGCTTGCGCGACCGGGTGCTGTGCAACTGCAGATCTCTGCAGCTCGTCGGTGCAGACAGGCGCGGCAAACATGTCATGTAAACTCAACCCAATGTTTGCAACTCAACCTTTCAATTGTGCATCATCTCGTAGCTTGCAGTACAGTGTGATTGTGTCCAAAGAGGCTTGCTCTCATCAAGGTGGTGCTCTGGGATTTGCACAGGGCCTTTTCCGCTGGAGCAAATCTTGCGTTCAGCACGGCGACATCAGACATGCGAGCTGAAAGCATCCATGCTAGGGAAGGCCTAGCCTCTCTCCCGATCACCATGAGATGTCTCTCCTCGACGCTCCCCTCGCAACCTGCAGGCAAGCTCCCGTCCATGGGCCCATGCCGTGAATCACCATGCGTATTGTTCGCCGGGCCTTGCAACCTTCTGCTGCTGCTTCTCCTCCAAATCTCTCCTCGAGCACACGGTCAGTGTACATAGTCTACAGCTAGTACATGTGGCCAGCGCATACAAGGTCAAGCTGTTTGGTTCTGAGTGCTTGACGCGGCTTTGGCAACCGCTGCGCTGAGATCAAGCTCTGACCTCAATTCGCTTGCCACCAAAACGTTGTGCTGTACAGAAGTCTTCAATTTCAAAGATGCAAGCGATTCTGGCTTGCCACCCGCACTGTGACCTTGGAAACGGGGTTTTGCACAACAACTGCAGGAAAGCCCACAGTGGTCAAGCAGATAATCCGAACGATTGGTGATTGGAGGCCGTACCAGTCGCACGCGCAGAATCCGGCTGAGCATCCCCCTGAGCAGGCAGGTAAAGACCATGTGCTTCGCCCAGCTTGATCCACCGTTTTCCGCTTGGGAAGCCCTGTCCACCCTTCCCAAAAAAGAACTACACATGAACGTCATCTACAGTCACGACATGTCACGCCCGCCGATTGACTTGACAATATGACCGATGGAAGGACCTTTCCGAGAATGATTGCAAAATCTAGCTCCTCACATGAGCAGAAAGGAGTGATCAATAGAGCTGACCTTACTCACGGATGGCTCGAGTAATGGGTTGCAACTTGAAGCAATATAGCCGACCCTGCGAAGTGGTCCGGGCCGCTACAACCCTGGCTTGTAAACCTTTCCATGTGCAGTCGGATGGAGCCTTCAATAACCAACATTTGGGGTTTACCGCCCGGCGATTAGGGCCTAGATTAGGGCCCTGGTCAGTAAACCGTAAACCGACACATCACTATAAGCATCAGGTCATGTATCATGTATCCACGTCTAGCCACTCCAGTTGAGCGCTTGCAGCAGGTTGTTGGCTCAGTGCTTTTGGGTGGGGGGACTCGGTAGAGCCTGGAAGAAAAGGAGAAGTCGTGCTAGGGAGGTGCCTGCGTCAAGCCAGTGAGGCCCGAGGCTCCGAGGCGCAGAAGCTGCTGCAAGGACCTCGGAGGAGGGACGTCTCGTAGGGTATCGCGCTTTTGGGCCAAGTTTCAAGGGCCCCGGACATAGCAGAGGCATGAGTCAGAATGAGGCACCTTGCCTTGCGCCCCCTTCTCACCGTTGCAGCAGCCTTTGCTGCCCTTGAGCCGGATAAAGAAGTCAAGCCGCAAAGTGCTTCAAGAGCTTCAAATCGAGCATGCTCACGGTGTCATTTATGCTCGATTTCCCGGCCGGGGGTCGCGTGGGTCTGACAAAGTCTGACAGCATGATGCTGCAGGCCGCTAGGAAAATGGCCTGAACACGAGCTTTGTATAGGTTTGTGCTACCCAGTATGGGTGAAGTTTACAGTTTTGCACTAGAACCAACTGCTGACTCTGAGGGCTCTAAGGCATCAGCTCACTCCCAATATCTTTTGGTGGCTTCTGGTTTCGAGGTGGAGCCAAGCAAGGAGGAAGCTACGTCATGCCAAGGTACCAATTGGTTTAACGCGCATGACAACATTACTCCTCGGGGCTTTGCAAGCCATGCTTTCCAAAACTCTCTACATCTGCTGTGTATGCGATGCTCAAGCGTCCTCCCATCTCATGGATTTACCGATGCCATCACTGCGTCGCTCCACAAGTGGAAGCAGCCAGGCACCTCTGACATTCTGCGCAGCGAAGTGAAAGCAGACGAGGTCATTAGAGCACAGGCACCTAGTAGCCCTGAACGGCTTGAGTAGTTCTGTCCGGAAAAGCTTCGTCCATCCTGGGCGTGCGAATCGGTTCAAGCGGGGACTTCGATTGGGGCGGCTTCCCAAGCTCACAGCGCTCGATCTGCCCAATACCGGATCGTGTCGTCCACTTGGATGAGATCGAGCTCCTCTTGGAAAAGGGGCAGGCGACAAGAAGCGCAGCCACGCAGTACTGTTTTTGTTGCTTCCCTCGGCTAGTCTTGCTTGTGGTGGCAAAATCCAAGCCTCTACGCCTGCCTTCTACACTACGTCACCCATCCGGGCCTGCTTGAAAACTGTCTTGACGGAAATCAGAATCTCTCGCTCAGCACGTCGAAGGTCAGCCTTGGAAATGATCTGCCATGTTTGTCCACATGAGTGAGTGTGTGGAGCGGAGCGGTGTGGTGTGGTGCGGTGTGGTGGGGTGTGGTGGGGTGTGGGGTGGGACAGAATAACAAGTCCGGCTTCAAGCAAGCCGATGTGGCACAGCGACCGAACGGCGAGCACGTGCCAAATCGTCCCTGTGTTTTTGCAATCCACCTCCGTGATGATGGATGCCAGGCAAGATTTCATGCCTGAAAGTGGTGGCTCCATCTCCCAACCGGGGATCTAAGAGGGTGGAGCTGGTCAGCTCGTGTCAGCGAGCCGCCGCCCCACGTGGTTCAACGGCTAGGGCCCCGGGGCCTGGCCCTAAACGATTCAGTTAGCACGCGCGTTGCGCACGGCCTCCTTCTTTTTTCAGGTCGGCCAGTGCGCTATGGTACAAAGTGGAAATTTCCGTTGCAGGAGAGCTGCCAGGCTCTGGATTCTTGTTGCAGCTTCATCTGCGTCCCATAGTCATAGTCCCATGCGGCGCTTGCTGTGGGGTCTGGTAAGTCCATCGAAAATCCCTCATATCCGGATGGCCTAAAGCCGTGGACTGGGAAGGCGTTACTGCACGGTGCGTGTGCAGCAGCATATATGGGACACAGGGAGCCTGGACCATGGCAGGGGCGTGCGCCCAGCGCACCGGCGGCGGACTGCCTCCGATGGCCAAGACTGCCTGCGGCACTGCCTGTGGCGCTCGGGCAGAGCAAGGCTCGGGAACAGGTCCACGTGGTGAGGGCACTGCAAAAGAGCAACCCACAGGGAGCGACAGAGTCTTTGCTTGGTTGTCTGCCCTTCCTGACTGGGGTGGGGAAACACTGGAAGCCACATCGCTCAGCTGACCCAACCGCAGTTGCGGAATCAAAACATTGCCCGCCTGCCCTCTAACTTCTCGTCCCGCCGGCACACTCGATGATGCAGCGGCAATGGGGGTTGCTGGAATTCCGCACAACCTTGCACCCGATGCACCCTGAGTGCTCAGCGCCTGCTTCTGCCTTTGCAGCTGCATAACCTCCGCCATCAGAGCATCCTTTTGCTGCTGCAGCTCGCTCGTTTCGACGCGAAGCCGATCGTTCCGAACTGACTGTGCCTCCGGAAACTCGTAGCGTGGCAAGGTCTCAACTTTGGCCTGCAGGCTGCTGATCAGGCTCTCCAGCTGCGTCAATCGATGTGCATCCACTTTGTGAAGACCAGCTGCATCATCCAAACTGACCTGTTCGCCATGGTAGGTTGACTGCAAGTCTCGCTGCTGCAAGGCACTGTGCATGCCCTGGACTTTGTCACAAAGGCGCTCCACGATCCTGCTCTCGATGCTCGGGTGGTGCATTGGAATTGTGGTAGCAGCACTTGCTGTGTCGGCTGAGCCTTCACCTTCATCGGACTGGGAAGTCGCTGGATGTTGAGCATAAGAATATGACTCACAAGAGCGTTTACGGTCATCATCAGGCTGGGATGCAATCTTGCTGATCTCGTCACTTAGTTGCTGAAGAATCTGTTCAAGTCGATTCTTGGAGCTGGGTGCGGCTCTTTGCGCCAGCAAGGCAAAATCCAGTCCGAGCAAATTCTTGCCCACTTCAACTGGCGCACTGGCCTCCTTTGCTTGCGTGAGTTTGCTTGTTGGGCTTGCCTTCCGCCCACGGCTGGCGACTGCTCCTGCAGCGCCGTCAGCGCGAGCATGTGCCTTTGCACGACTTGGCAGGGAGGTTCGCCTGCCCAACCCCGACTTGGCTGCCTCTTCGATGTGCTGCAGGTTTGCCGTGCTGACAGGCACCTCATGAGCTTTCTTCATGGATAGCGAGCTTGATGCCCCCGGCGCTTCTGCCTGTCGGATGCCTGCTGGCCTCTCTCGCACGACGGGGTCCCTGGTCTTTGGGGAAGTTCCATGGCTCGCTCGCCTGTTGTTGCTGGCAGATGCATAGCTCCCAGACATGGCGGAGACAACTCACGACATAGCGCCATGCGCTTGATCCCTGGATGGCTTCACAAAGGCTGGTGAGCTCCTTTACAGCAAGCTTACATAACTGTCCTGCTCTCGCTCAACAAAGAAACTCTCGGTTGACGGAATCAGGTCTGCAGATTTCCAGGTTCGGACAGATTCCTTCAATTTTTCACAGGTTGAGAACACGAAATCGTAAAGCCCGATCTGGAATCTGGAAACCGAGACGCTGCAGTTCGAAACTCTAAACGTCTGAAAGCCCATGCTGCTTAAGCCCGGCTTGCCACTTCATACGCGGGGTTCAATGGATTTTCCCGGTGCGTAGCCCCTATGCATGTAGCAGCCTCCATCTGCGCTACAATTCTAGTAGTGAGAAGAGTTCAACATAAACCAGATCACTCTTCTGTGATTTGTCTTTGTGAGTTTGCATCCAGGGGTCTTGAAAGCATGCCGGGCTGAGCACTACACACACTCCTCGCAACTGCCGCCTATGCCGCGAAATTGTGCAAGCCTCACTACAGCCTTCATGACTGCACCATCCCGCAAAATCTGTAACTTCCAGGCACCTTAAGTACTGATCCTAGATACAGTGCATGTGCAATGCCCTTCCCCAGGCTCCCAAAAAACAAAAACGCGATGATACACAGACGTAGTCGAAGTGCAGTATGGATGCGTCAGAGCGTGATAAGGTGGACTGCAGTGACATCATTGAGAGACAAGACAACATGGAGATCGAAGCAGCAGCTTAGAGTACCTTGAGTACCCTGACCCGAACCATGCAATTTTGAATCTGCCTTTGTGGCAAAGAAGAAGCGACTAGAGGTGACTAGGTAGCCTCGCTCGAATCGAACGACGAAAATGGCTTGAAACTGCAAAAGCCGGACATTCGAAGAAGGTGTGCGGTGTGCGAGACCACAGCCAGCGCCCTCCACAAGGCATGATGCACTTTCTAAGCCCTACAAGTAGTCGAAACTGAGCTCAAGGCCGCAGCCTTCGCAAGGCTACTTGCCGGAATAGAGTCAGGATCAGCGTCTTCGGCTTCCTGTGGCAGTGCAATTCGCTATTCGTTCCTGAAGACTTTTTCTGACACAAGGAAAGGAGAATGGAGCAACAGATCATACGTGTAGAAAAGCAAGCTTTGAGTCGGCAGCTCGGTGTTTCTGCCTCCAGCCCCGCATCATTTTGTTTCTTGTTGGATGTTGAGGGCACCCTTAATCTTTGATTGCGGGCGCCCAGCTACTCAGAGAACCAACAACTACAAGCGATGTCGAGCACCCAGCGCGGGTGCGCGGCCCAGGCCAGCACAAGCGGCTTAACCGGGGCTCGGGGACCCGAAGCAGCTCAAATGCCGGGCCAAAACTATACCACAAGCTGCAATGCACCGCAGAGTCGAGATGGGTGCTTTGCCACCTCAATTCGCCTTCAAAAGCCAGGCGTGCTTCAGAACTTCCTCTGCTTCTGGCCTTTTCTTTGCGTCTCCAGCCAGAAGGCAGGTGATAAGATCCTCATTCAGTACACAGTAATGAGAAAGAAAACCTTTAAAAATCATTAAAAAATGCTTAAGAGATTGGGCACATTTTCGAGGCCAGCCAAGCACTGTCCAG